AAAAAAAGGAAGTCCCCACCAGAAGAAAAATTGTTATAATATAATAAGAACCAAAAATTGTACTATGAAGTTAATGATTTACATTTATTTTTCATTTGGTTCTAACTGGATTCCTAATACTATACTAGGTACCTCAAATATTATAGAAGCAAATTTTTTTCTATTACTTAAATGCATCTATTTTCTTATATATAATAAATGGACAGTATCTTACAAAGTTAAAAATTAATGGGATCAATTACTACCTACATTAAAGAGCCATAAGTTCAGCATCTGTTTGTAAGTTAGCCTTAATGATTTGTAATGATATATCATTATCTTTTCATTTCTTACAAAATTCCTCTGGATTTTACCAGCCTGGGATACAAGTAAAACAATGTTGATAGTAATATTCCAAATTTCACTGCCTCTAGTCCCTATCTTCATAACACGGGGGGTCAGTTTCCCTTTAAAATTTCAACAAATTATTTCTGGGAATCCCAAAGCTGTCCTGTGTGAATTCGAGAACTCCTCTTTTTTATGACTGAGTAGTATTCCATTGTGTGTGTGTTGTGTGTATATATATGTATTCTTTATCCATTTATCTGCTGGTGGGCTCTTGGATTGTTTCCATGTCTTGGCTATTGTGAATAATGCTGCAGTGAATTTGCGACAATGTGGATGGACCTTGAGGGTATTATGCTGAGTGAAATAAGTCAGACAGTGAAAGACAAACTCTGTGTGACTTCACTCATATGTGGAAGATAAACACATAGATAAGGAGAACAGATTAGTGGTTACCAGAGGGGTGGGGGTAGGGAGAGGGCAAAAGCGGTAAAGGAGCACCTATGTATGGTGACAGATAAAAACTGGACTGTTGGTGGTGAACACAATGCTGTCTACACAGAAACTGACATATAGTGATGTACACCTGAAATTTACACAATCTTGTAAGCCAATGTGGCCCCAAGAAAATTGAAAAAAAAAAAAGAATTCCTCTTAACTTTAAGTTTCTCTGTCCTAAATTCATGAAGCCATCTGCAGTGAAGCTTCCTGAGAGCTCCGATGTCTGACTGAGGTGGGGCGCCAAGCTTCTTCAACCACAAATCCTTGAAATGCCAGAATAGCACTCCTTTCTCTGCCCTCCTTGCTCTACTCAAACCATTCTGGGTGGTCACACTGTTCAAAAGAGATACCTTTCCGAAAACCCCTAGTAAGTCAAACTTGCACTTCAAGACTGAGGTCACATTTGTTTGCCTGCTAGAATGGTATCACTGTGTGGCAAGAATTTAAAACTTTCAATTCGTTTTCCCACTAGCTTTGAAATGAAGTGCTTGTTGATGAAAATTTTAATTTGAGGGATTGCATTATTTCAAAGTTTGGCATAATGTAAGACCTATGTAATATTTTTATCACCTTATTTCAGATTTTCAAAATTTAAAGTCACAGGAAATTTGATGGCCCTGCCTTCCCTCACTTTGCGTTGCACCGATGGTGCCATGTGCATCAAAGGAGCAGCCCTTTAGGATTCTCCTACAGTCTCTTCCTCCTTGAGGCTCAGGATCCCAATCCATGGGCCTGAAACAGATGCCACTTTCATTCTAGTCTTTCTTTCAGAAGAAAACTCCTTCCTTAGCCTCCTGTCAAAATAAAAATATTTAAACTGACTGCTAGAACTTTTTCTTTAAAAATTCATTAGAGATACCCAGGTAATGGAATCCATCAGATTTAGGCTTGGACTATCCCTCGTTTACCCCTCATATTTATTAAATGTTGAAAAACGTGTAGAAAGAGAATGAAGACAAAAGCTGGGAAATTCCTCACCTAAGCTGAGTTGTTGATGCGAATATGTGGCCCTTGGTTGGATCCTAGTTTGAACGAACTGACTGTCTAAGACATTTGGGGGGACAGCTACAGAGATGTGGATACCGAGTGGGTATGAGATGATATTAAGCAGTTATTGTTAATTGTCTAGGTGGGATAATGAAATTGTGATTGTGAAGAAAATGTGCTTATATTTTAGATATAGATACTAAAAGACTTGGGGGATGAAATGACATGATTTACATACTTTGTATTCTTCAAAACAGAAAAAATAAGCATGGCAGAATGTTGACAAGGTTAAATGTAGACTATGGGTATTAGGTGTTCATTCTACTTCTCTCTAAGTTTGAATTTTTTTTTTTTTAAAGATTTTATTTTTTTCCTTTTTCTCCCCAAAGCCCCCCAGTACATAGTTGTATATTCTTCGTTGTGGGTCCTTCTAGTTGTGGCATGTGGGATGCCGCCTCAGCGTGGTTTGATGAGCAGTGCCATGTCTGCGCCCAGGATTCGAACCAACGAAACACTGGGCTGCCTGCAGCAGAGCGCGCGAACTTAACCACTCGGCCACGGGGCCAGCCCCTAAGTTTGAATTTTTTTAACAAAATATTTTTTAAGATGGAGTTGTAGTTATGCTATATATAGTATCTTTAAAAAGAGATCATTGTTGTATTTCACTTCTTTTTATCTTTCTTCCAAGTTATAAAATGTGTTTCCTTGGATAGTGGCTCATCAAAGAGAGAGTGGGAGTGGGTGACCCTTGAGGAAGGTGGGGGAACGAGCATGGAAAAAAGCTTTCACGGGTGATTCTAACTGGCCTCTGGAGAAGGGACCACTGGCCTAAAAGAAAAGAGTAATGTCAGATTCTAACTCAATGTTGGAAACATTCTTTCACAAAGAATCCGTTATTTAGACGTTCCTGCTTTTTAACTTTAGAAACCACCTCCTATGGCATATAGAATTTTTTCTTTTATTTCCAGACTCGAAGCTCATCTTACAATATAAGTGGACTCTCAGAAATCATGTGGTGATGTGCTGTCCCCTCCTCCCTCTCCAGTTATAACTAGCAGCCCTTGTGGGAAATTGGTGTGAGTGGTATGTGGGGCCTGGAAACAGGGCTCTCGCTCTGGGGTCCTCTGTACCAACGCCAGGTTGCTTTTTATCCAGCAACTTCCCCACAATGTCATTGCTTGCATCCTTTACCCTCCATTGCAGTAGCCAGACAGCAGAGAATTGGCAGTTTCTAAAGCAGTCAATCAATTCATATGGATTTGTTGAGCTCCTTCTCGGTGCAATACACTGCCAGCTGGAATAAAAAGGTGAGGGAAACAGTATTTTCAAGTCACAAGCAGTTAACCAATATGCAATGGCTTTGAAGAGTAGAAAGCAAGTTGCTGAAGCATCAATGGTGAAAACATTGAGCCTTGGAAGCAAAACCATGTGACTGAGTGTACCTGCCTGTGTCCAGTGTTAGACTGGCGCGGGGTGCCTCTGAGCCTCAGTGGAGCTGACAAATGTCCAGACCCAAGTAGGGGCTGGGGCACCACTGGGCTGTAGCCCTTGCTGCAGGCCAGCCCTTGGGAGATGCCCTCTTAAAGCTACTTTTCCCCGTGGAGAAACCAAAAGGGTGGCAACAATGGGGAAAAATCCTGATTATTCTTTTAGTATTTATGTAGAATTAAGATAAGAATTTAGGGACAGAAACTCTTAAAAAAGAAATATTAGAGTGGCAAACTCTTCCAGCATATCATAAGTCGTGAATTCACAAGGACTGCAACTTCCTTCAACAATAGAATAGAAACAACACTTTCATGCTGATTTACAGAGTTGATCATTAGAAAGAAAACTCGAGTTCAAGTTACTAGCTGAATTATGATTTTTTCATTTCAAAGTTGTTATTAACCATAATGTTCTGAACTATATTCATTTGATCGTGTAATATACTCATGTTTTTAGGAACTATGCCATTTATTGTAGATGTTTATATAGCACTTTCCAGGTTATGTCTTCCGAATGAAGTTTAGGCTTACAAAATCTAGGGGCTAACAGCAGAGCTAAAAAGTTGTAATGCAGATGAAATTTCTCTTTACTTCTGCCACCTCATTCCTTTCCTGGTTTTATCTTCCTGCTATGATATCCCCAACAATCTTACGTTACTCCTTTGGGTTCCTTTCCCCCACAAAAATCAGAATTTAGTAAAGAATGACTTCAATGATTTATGTTCTCCTTTACCACAAGTATAATTTGCATGTAATCCCCATCAAAAGAGAGGATTTCCAAATGTCACTGAAAACGAGGCAGAGTATCAGGGGCCTACGGGCCTTTGTTGTTTGCCTAAAATAAACCCCCAAATAACGTGTGTATACTGTATCTATTAACAAAGCATTTACAGTAACGTGCAAAGGAAAAAAAGTTTGCCTTCGAAAAGTAGAATTCAGAATTCCAGTCAGTTGGTATAGATTTGAACCAAACTTATCTCAACACCAAATAGATGTGACCATATGTTTGTATTTGTAGAAAGTGAACAGGTCTCAGTAACACCAGAGAAAAATGTATGCTGTTGGCACTTAACAGTGGCCATGCACGTATAATAAATGTATTAATATAATATCTTTACTCATTAAAATATACTGAAGGTCCAGACAATTTCAGCACTCCTCAGTTAGCTGTTCCCGCATGTTAATGTGTGTTATTGTGAATAGTTGCAAGTGATAAATTCACATCTCTTACAGCATATTCCACAGTTTAGACTTTTAATTTATGTGGTTTTCCTAATTCCTACTTGGTAAGTGAGGCATTCCTGTATTTTTTTGAAAAGAGAGTCTCATTTTATGTTCTTGAGAAGGCAAAATCATTCGGTTTACTAGCGATCAGAATACCTACAACTGTATACCCCTATCAATACAGCTGATAATAATAATGTCACAGTACTTACCTTAAAATGCTGTAAAGTAAGTGCAGTATAATGGGAAAATTTTAAACTGTGATTTTCACTTTTGAAAAATAGGTAATAAGCATGCATGATAAAATTCCAAAATATGTAAATGGTGTCTAGTTCTTCCAGAGTGTTCCTGGCTCCCTCCTGCCTGTTTCTGCTCCCCAGGCGCAACCTTTGCTCTCGTTTTGCTGTGCATCTACCGGAGGTAGCTTGTGTGTTCCATTTATTTCTAATGCTTATTTAATTAACTAATTTATTTTAGATAACTCCAGAATTGATGATAAAAGCCTGTACTTTTTATACTGGACGTTTAGTAAAGACCCACTTTTGGTAAGAACATGATTTTTATATGCTATGTCTCCTTGCTATGTCTTGTTCTTGGTATTCTCTACATGAAGAAAAACTCACTTTTGGCCAATTATTCTGATTTTATCTATTTAATCCTGTCCCCACCATTTTGCATTGTAGATTTCTTTTATATTTAGTTGGCTTTTACTTAGTTAAAATATATTCTTTATTTCTTCAAGGTATCACTCTGCCCTTTTTTTTTTAAATAAAACTTCAAAATTGAAATGACAGATCCACAGTCCCCTTATCTGAAACTCTTGGAACCAGATATGTTTTGGAATTTGTATTCCTTTTTTTTTTTTTAATTTGAGAAAGATAATCTCCACACATGTTATGTAACATGTTTACCAGTGCCTGGGGCGGCATGTTGGAACCAAACATATTTGAACATACTAGTATTTCTATGATGAAACACGTACGTATTTTTACTGAGTGAAATGACAGAAGACTGGAAACAGCCACGTGTCAGATGCAGAGAGATTTTGGTGTAAAATTAGTATAGCTCAGGTCTAGTTTTGCCTCTCAATACGTTATGAAAAAATTCAGATTTCAGAGCTTTCTGGGCTTTGAGGACGTAGAAAAGGGAAGTGCAGGCTCAAAGGAAATGCAAGGACTGGCAGGAAATAAAACAATCAAAATAATTTAACAGTTTCGTTCTATGCTATGGTTTTTGAGGAGCGAAAAGAAGTATGACTTCTTCTTCCTCTTAGTTTATTTACTCACGTATAGCTGTGACATCAAATGATCGTTTTTCTATATTTCCTGCCTGTAGCACTTGGAGAAATATAGCAATATCTCGTACAAATGAAGACGACATGCTGGCTGAAAAAATGGAAAAAGCAACGAAATATGCCAATTTCAGACTTCAAAAATATATATTTCACCATTGGCACTCTCATGCGAAAGTTCGAAAAGAACAACTTAATGGTAAATCCTTACAGAGTAGCAACTAGTTTTTGTGTTCTTGTGTTCAAAGAACCGACAAACTGAACGGTGAAGCGTAATTTGTACTAGAGAATTTATTATTATTTTTATGTCTAGAGAATTGTCGTGAAATGTAAAGCCACTAATTTATTGTTTATTTATTTACTTATTTTTGGTGAGGGAGATTGGCCCTGAGCTGACATCTGTTGCCAATCCTCCTCTTTCTGCTTGAGGAAGAGGGTTGCTGAGCTAACATCTGTGCCCATCTTCCTCTATTTTGTATGTGGAATGCCACCACAGCATGGCTTGATGAGCAGTGCCAGGTCTGCACCTGGGATCTGAACCCATGAACCCCGGGCTGCCGAAGTGGAGCATGCGAACTTAACCACTACGCCACTGGGCCAGCCCCTACGCCACTAATTTGAAATATTTGCTGAGATCTATCTCAAAGGGTTTTATTGTGATAGAAAACAGGCATATTTAAAATAAAATCCTATATGTGTTTGTGTGATGTATATACAAATATAAATAGGGATCTACTATCAGCTTTTTTACATAATAGAGAGCTGAGATATTACAGACAGGTACCGAAATTGACTCTTTTTTGTAGAGAGCTCTCTTTCTTTGTAGATATTTCATTTAATGAATCTGTGAGGAAACTTGCAGAGAAATAATTTTCTTCTGCCTAAGCCCCTGATGGTTGCAATGACTGGATGGTGCGCGTATATGATCTTAGGAGCAAGGAGAGAGAGTTCCAGCCTTCTGCTTAGCTTTTATCCAGTTTGCCAGATTTTATCCATCGATTTATGGTGGTGGCAAGTCAGAGAATCATTTCCTCTTAATCGGCTGCTGTTGGCAGCTCAGTCAGAGTGGACCCTCTGAAGGTTTTAACATGAGGATAATGGGAGATCATTCCTCTCAGAAACGATTGCATGCAGCTAAGAAGCCACTGCCCTCTGAGTGGTGTCTCCAGCCCTGCCTTAATGATCTTCCTTCCTGGCCCGGCCCGTGTGTTTGAGCTTTGGACCCCTGGTTCAAAATATACCTGTAGGGCAACCTATTTAATCATAGGACATTTAACTAAATCAGAATACTACCTCATAACTGTATTTCTGTGAATAAGTTTGGAAGTTCTGGTTTTATAAGGAACAGATTTATTAAAAAGAAGAAATGATATGTACCTTGACGTTTTATTCCATCTTAATTTCTAAGGGCACAGGTGATGTTTACAGGTTAGTAAAGTCTCAGGAGTACTATCTACTGCTGTCAAAAGTAATTAATTTCAGATGTAATTAAAATCAAACAAAAACTATCAGTTGCAACGTTGGTTCCTATTGCAAACAGAATAGAATATTTAACACTTTTTTTTTTGGAAACAGCTTTAACTATAGACAGTAATCTAGTAAATTTTCTTCAGATATGCTGTTGCGGATCCAGGGGAAGTTCCACCATTACAAGCTAATAATCATCCTAAATAAATGGAGGGAGAAGGCAAGACATAGGTATAAGAAGAGAGAAGATGAGCTGGTATGGTATATTGGAAACTTAATTTTTTTAGAAACTGGATTTTGCTGGTATATTGATGTTGCCTCAGATAATAATGCAATATGTGGAAAATACTAAAGTCCTGAATATTATGTACTTTTGATGGGGTCCTTTTTCTTTTAACTTAATAATTTAAATTTCACTTCAGCTACCCCAAAGATTTCCTAATAAATTCTGTTGTTTCATTTGAACTATGAACATCAAGGAAAAGTCTTTTAACATTTTGTTGAAATTTATTGATAAAGACGCTAAGAATTTTTGTTTAAGCAAGTATTCAGAAGGATATAGATGTCTAAAATGGAAGAGAAACTATTTGATATGATTATAATAAACAAGAGAATGATAAAGATTGAATACATTTATTCTTTTCTAGATAAGATTAAATCGCTATTCTTTTTAACATTCAATTTAGTAAATTACAATCTTAATATTAAATTATTTTTCAAATCACTAAATTGCTAAACTTAAAGTATCGTTCTTAACTAGGACACCCACTAGGAATTAAATCAATTAAGACAGAGAACTCAAGCAAATTCCTCCAAACTTAAAAATATCCCTAGTTTGCTTAAGCTATTAGTGTATTATTATTTAACATTGTTTTAGAATATTCACAGTAATTACTATGATCAGACATAGAAACATGCTGGAATTTTTTGTCGTTACATTATTTAGTAGGTAATGTTTTGTTAATATTCCTTGAAATACAAAGTCGGGATAAATAGGAAAGAGAAAAATAGGAAGAAATTAACCCCCCTGTTCTGTGGTTGCTCCATGGAGGGTGGGATCAATGTCTCCCACCCCAAACTGGTTCAGAGGCTCAGACTGATGACACTACACATGTACCCAGAGAGGATGAGAAGATGCATTACTCACATGATGGCTGGAACAGTGCTAAGGTCCGCAGGGGATACCGAGATGCATAAAGCATTGTTCTCACTCTCTGGAGGTTTATCATCCACTGACAGTGAACCAGTGTTCTTGTAGGGTATCCTCCAGGACATGCCTTTTGTGGACTACATTTTCAATGTTGCCAATTAAACAGTTATACTTTGGGTACCACTTAATGTTTTAGTTTGCTCATCCCGTGCTTTCTACCACTTTGTGTACTAGGCTAGTGTTTTGATCCCAGCCCCGCATACCGAGTCATTGATTGTCTAGTGGTGAAATCTGTAACTGTGCATGACCAGTCTGCTCCTTCTATACCCCCTTACCCTGAACATCCCTGAGAGCAGGCAGCATTGTTCTCTTAACCATCCCCATGCACAGAGCATAAGGTTTTGCATGCATTTGTTGATATATATTAATATATAATAATCTTTATTATATATAATATTATCCTTAACATAGATGTGTCTTATACAGTTAATTGGGTGTTTAGAGAAAATGTTTTCTTCTAGCTGTGTGCTTTCTTGGCCTCAGAATCGTGCCTTCACTTAGGCGGAGTGAGGATGGCAGGTGTGTGTTGGAGGAGAAGCAGGGAACACTTCTGTGTGCCAGTTCTCCAGCGTGTGCTCTTCCTTAAGCTCTAAAACGTATATATTTTACACCAAAATGTGTGTGTGTGTGAAAAACTTATTTACCCTCAGGGCTTTTTCTTGATGATGCAGTTTTCAGAAATGTGTTGAAAGTTAAAATGGGGACTTTCTGGAATGATAAATCAGGGAAGTCCCCCAATTCTTTCCTTCTGACTCTCCTTTTTAATCTCCATGCTAACCACCTTCTTTCCATGCCCCAAGTACCAGTTCTGTCATCACCAGAGCCTCGACTCTGGGTTTCAGCTTCCTTACCGGTAAAAGAGGAGGCTGGACCACAACCTTAAGGTGGCTGCCTGTGCCCATGTTGAATGAAAACTAATGGAAATGATCTATAATGCTTCGGTGGTTCAGAGAATATCGAACATGCAATGGACCATGATAATTTATGTAATGATGATGGTAATAAGTCATGTTTAATTGATGCTATTATTGTGTCAAGCATTGTGCTTTATCTATCTATCTATCTATATATAGATAGATAAATATATATAGATATATCATCTCATTTAACCCTTCCAACAACTCCATGGGATTTGTAAATTATTTTCATGGCAGATGTTAAAACATGAACTTCAATTGAAAAGATGGAAGAGCAACTTGAAAGGCAAGACAGCTGCTGAAGAAAAATTCATTTTTCCTGAACGAAGTATGTCTGAAGTCTTTCTTATAGGTTGCTGTGACATTTCAGCATTACCGGAAAGAGCAGTATCACGGGTTCGTATGGATTCATATGTCTTAGCCAGTTATTTTCACAATGTTTGTTTAAAGAGTGATTTTGTGAACCTTACTTGAATTATGGAAGCCATATTTTGAAGAAATATGTTTTTTACAACTACTTTGGGCTATCCCATTTTGTTAGAGGTCATCCATTTGGATGGCTGTAAGATAAATATAACAATCAAAAATGGAGAAATTAAAGTTGTAGGAAATAAGAATGAAAGGAATGTTTTTCCTTCCTTCTTCCTTCGAGCTTATCTTGTCATTTAAGGTGCAACAGATTTTAGATACTCCAATGCTTACCTTTTTGTTTTGGTGAGGAAGATTGACCCTGAGCCAATATCTTTTTGCTTGAGGAAGATTGGCCCTGAGCTAACATCTGTGCCAGTCTTCCTCTACTTTGTATGTGGGACGCTACTACAGCATGGCTTGATGACACTGTCTGGGATCTGAACCAGCAAACCCCAGGCCGCTGAAGTGGAGCACACAAACTTAACCACTACGCCACTAGGCCAGCCCCCAGTGCTTACCTTTTAATCTCTAAACCTCTAATCTTAACATTATGCCTCCACTCTGGACTGTAAATGGGGCTCATCTTATTGAAACTTTCAGTTAGTTAAAATATTTATTTGTATCATCTTTCTTCCTTAGATAGTGAATTCATAAAAATAAGAATCATGTATCTCTATCATACAACTCATTGACTTGATCTCTGAAAAATAAGCCCTCATTCTAACTACTGGTTATATTCTGTCCTATTTTGATAGATAAGTAATTTCTACTTTGTGGAACTATCTGATAAATGATGGAAGAGTTGTGAAATATCACCTTATTCTGGTTGATGGCAGCTTTATGTTATAAAATCCCACATATTAAATCCACCTTTCTAAATGCAGAGAGAAGTGAGTTCAACTTATTTTGGGGAATAAGATCTATATCTAGATCTATATTTATATGTATATCTAATCTTGCACTTTATGTGTAGCATGGAATTCACATAAGGATATTTTTGCCCATTATTTCCTCTTTATAAGTTGCCCATTCATATCTTGTTTATTTTTAAATTGGAATTCCTATAATTTTCTTCCTAGTTTGTAATAGCTCTTTATATATTAGTACTAGTAACCCTTTTCCTGGAATATACTGGAGATCTTTTTTCCCTACGCTTGGTGTTTGCTTTCAATTTTGCCTGTGGAGTCTTTCCATGGAAGAAGTTTTAAAGGTTTCTGTAGGAAAGTCTATCACTCTTGCCCTAATTATTTCTTTTTGTGTCATATTAATACGTCATTCTTAGCTGTTTTTCTAAACCATATCATACTCCTTCGTACACATATACAGCTGGTATTGGTCTTTGGACTCCTCCACCTTTGACTGCTAATGTTTCTTTGTTTACTTTGTCGGTGGCTGCTCTTCAGTTTACAATGTGCATTTTCTACTTCTCACAGATTATACCTTCAGATAATTTTCTACCACTTTACATGTAACATAAGAACCCAACCAGAGTATGCTCTCATTCTCTCTCTCCTGCGCTTCGTTCTATTATTGTCATGCATTTTATTTCTATTGTATTTATAATCTCTACAATATAATCTCTACAACATATGCTTTTTATGCAGCATATGTTTTTTATTTTTAACAATCTCAAACTTACATAAAAGTTGCAAGTACAGTACAAAGAACTTTTTTCCCTGAACAGTTTGAGGGTAAGTTGCCGACATGATACCCCATCACCCCTGAATATTACCAGTGTATAATTAGCCTGCAGTCATTCTCCTACAGTCAACTGTCAGAATCCTCAGACCCAATTCAGATTTCCCCAGGTGTCCCAACATTGTCCCAATAATTCAAAGAATCCAGTTCAGAATCACACATAGCAACCGATTGTGTGTCTCCTTAGGCTCCTTCAGTCTTCAACTGTCCCTCAGTCTTTCTTTAATTTTCATGACCTTGACATGAAGATTAGGCCAATTTTATTGTAGAATATCTCCCATTTTGATCTTGTTTCATCTTTCCTCAAGAACATATTCAGGTTTTGCATTTTGGTTAGAAACACCACTGCCCTCACGCTGTGCTCTTCTCAGTGCATCGTGTCGGGCGCACAGGATTTGTGTTTGCCCGTGATTGCGATGTTTACTTTGATTGCCTGATTCAGGTGGTGTCTGCCAGATTCTCCACTCTTCAGTTGTTCCCTTTGTAATTGTTATGCATTTTGCGTGTACTTTAAAATTCTATAAATATTCCCATTCCTCATTAAATTTTCAGTTTATTTATAGCAGTGTGGACTTGTGGTTTTCTGTTTTATTCAATGGGTTATAATCCATTACTATCGCTACTTATTTTGGTGCTCAAATTGTCCCAGATTTGGACAGTGGGAGTCCTTTCAAGTTGCTGTCTGTGTCCTTTTGACTTGTAACCATCATTCTTTGAGCACTTTCTTACTTTATAGCACAGCAGGATGTCCCATGCTCATCTTGTACTTTTCCCCGCTGCACCCTGGATAAGTCATTTCTCCAAGGTTCCCTGAATCCTTCTTAATGGAAATTGTACACAGAAACCAAGATTTGAGCACTACTTGTGTTCACTGCCATGGCAGTGTCGCTTCTCCAATGCCTTCTCAGTGGAGAGAACTAGAAACTGTAAGTAGGTGCACATATACACATTTGTTTCCATGTCTGTACCTCTATATGCTGAAAACCTAAATTGCGCATGTGTACTTCCAGTTCTGAGTTAGCACCACAGGGCTCATTCTAGTTTTCTCCCTTTCCATATTTGCAACGTCCTTCTCCAACAGTGGAATCCCACCTCTCATTATTCTTGATACATTTACTTATTTGATCACTCCCCCTGTGTGGAACCAGTCACACATATTGCTGCCACTTTCCCCTCCCTGTGTAGATACCTTCTTCGTCCTGCTCAGGCTTTGATGCCCCTTGCCAGGCCACCCTGTTATGCAGAGGCCCTCCTCACGCTGCTTGGGCTCTGACATCCTGTGCCAGTTGCCTTTCCCCCAGTGTAGTTGCCTTCCTAACTTTGTTGGGGCTACACATCCTACACTGACTGCCTTCCTACATAGGTGCCCTCCTTACCCTACTCAGGCTCTCACATGCCACACATAGGCGGCCCCTCTTTGGAGATGTCCTCCTTATGATGCATAGGCTCTGTCATCTCATCCCATCGCCTGACACATAGCCATTCTCCATATCCTGCTTGGCCCCTGGTATCTTACACAGGGTTTCCTTTCCTTGCTTTACCCTTCGTGTCCTGCTCAGGCTCTGACCTTCCACTCTGGCTGCCCCTTCTTAGGGGCACCCTCCTCATCCTCTCAGAATCCAACATCATACGCTGAGATATCCTTCCACATGGATGATGCCTTCTCACCGTGCTTGTTCTCTGACTGTGCTGGGCACATGTCCTCTTCTTGTTCTCCATCTGCTTTGGGCTCCAATACCACACAGTGAGCTCACTGTGAACAAGCTCACAGAGAACAAGCAGGATGAGAAAGGCATCATCCATGTGGAATGATATCCCAGTGTATGACATTGGAGCCTAAGAGGGATGAGGAGGGTGTCCCTAAAAAGGGGCAGCCAGAGTGGAAGGTCAGAGCCTAAGTAGAACAAGAAGGGTGAACCAAGGAAGGGAAACCCTGTGTAAGATAGCAGGGGCCATTCCTCCTTGTGGACACCCTCCTCACCTGTCTTAGACTCCAAAGCCCTGTGCAAGGGTGCTCCACTGAGTGGATACTCTCCTTTATGCACCCTAGTTCTGGTACCCTGCTCTGGGCCAACACAGCTTCTCTGCACCTCTCACCCTGGCGTGGATGCCTACTTTGGTTGGCCCAACCTAATGGCTTTAGGACTGAATTGTATAGGAAGAAGGAAGAGAAAGGGTAGTGGAAGGGATTCATTATCTTCTAAAGAAATTAAAAACTCAGAAAAAAAGCATTTTATATTTTCCCACAAATTGGCCATTTCTGGTCTTTCTTTGTTTTTGTTTAGATTTGGGTTTTCATCTGGAACTGTTTTCCTTCAGCATGGAGAACATCCTTTACCATTTCTTGAAGCACAGGTCTGTTGGTGCTTAATTTTCTCAACTTTCATTTCTCCAAAAAAGTCTTTATCTTGCCTGTATTTCTGAAAGATATTTTCGCTAGATATAGAATTCTAGGTGGACAGGTTTTTAAAAATTTCATTCATTCCTTTTGAAAGATAGCATTCCATTATCTTCTGGCTTGCATTGTTTTAAATGAGAAATCAGTGGAATGATTTATTTTTCTTCCTTTGTATGTATGTATCTTTTTTCTTCTTGATGTTGCTTTTTTTTAATTCTTCAATTTTTATTGAGGTCTAATAGTTTATAACATCGTGAAATTTCAGTTATACATTATTATTTGTCAGTCACCAAATAAGTGTGCCCCTTCATCCCTTGTACCCACACCCCAAACCCCTTCTGCCTGGTAGCCACTAATCTGTTCTCTTTGTCCGTGTGTTGCTTTATCTTCCACATATGAGTGAAATCATATGGTGTTTGTCCTTCTCTGTCTGGCTTAGTTCGCTTAACATAATACCCTCCAGGTCCGTCCATGTTGTTGTGAATGGGAAGATTTTGTCTGTTTATATAGCTGAGTAGTATTCCGTTGTATATATACACCACATCTTCTATATCCATTCATCAGTCAATGGGCACATGGGTTACTTCCACATCTTGGCTATAATGAATAATACTACAATGAACATAGGGGAGCATAAGTCTCTTTGAATTGTTGGTTTCAAGTGTTTTGGATAAATACCCAGTAGTGGGATGGCTGAATCATGTGGTATTTCTATTTTGAATTTTTTGAGAAATCTCCATACTGTTTTCCTTAGTGGCTGTACCCATTGGCATTCCCACCAGCAGTGGGTGAGGGTTCCCTTCTCTCTACAACCTCTCCGACATTTATTATTTTTTGTCTTAGTGATTATAGCCATTCTAACTGGTGTAAGGTGATGTCTTAGTGTAGT